GTAAGTTTAGAAATTACATTTTTTTGTTTGTTTTGTTTCACTTAAAGGGTGGTGGTCGTTGCGCCGCTTCCTAATGTATACGATACTCATAGCGACGTGCACAGTGCGTGTACAATACTAGTACATTGTTTGTTTACATTCGAACATGCGCTGAGCAATGACCACCGCACTAAAAAGCTCGGTGACATAAAAGTGAAAGATTTAAATTGTTGGTTGGTATGGACGCTGTCGGATGAGTGCATACTTCTTTTACGACTTATTTGTGGTTTTGTCACAACATGAGGTTATCCGTGGTCGATTAGTTCTCCAAGTAAACATTGCGTCTTTTTCCGCGGGAAAAATGCTCGTTCATTCACATCACGATGAGTAACTCAAATCCGTTCTGTTGAGCGTCAATAGGCAGGGCAACTATCGCAGTCCTAACTCGCCCGGTTCGGCCTGTTTATATGAAACAAGTTAGTCATCGCGCCGCACCGACATAAGACCCATAGCGATGTACACAACTCTTTAGACTGGCCCAGTCGTAACAATTGTCTTAATATAATTCTTTAGAACAAGTTTGTAGAATCTTCTGAGTTGTTTTCTTAAATTGTTCGATACAAAATTCGTGTAAAATACTAACAAATACATTCTTTACACGATTTTTTTGAAATTCCCTCGAACTCGCTGCGCGACGACCACGTCCTTTTGCTTCACATAAAGGCGTTGTATTTTGATACACTCTTGGATTCATTCATAACTTTAAACCAATCAGAAACACTTCTGATGACATAATATGACAATTTCATCCAAATTTGTCACACTTAGGAATAATTTAATCACCTTACTATACCTCACAACCCAGTCAGCAATTATAAAGATTCTAATTTTGCATAACGACACTCAGGATAAAAGAATGTTTGGTATTGAGTTTTGGGTGTACGTACCAGAGTTTCAAATACGGGTGAAAGTACAGGTGATCGCATAAACAGACGTCTACGCGTCGCTCTCCATTCCCAAACATAAATTAACCAGTATGGTGTTTCAAATTTACTATGAATTTAAAATGAAGAACATTGACTAGTAATAGTCGATACCGATGTTGGATACGGCATGCTGAAGACCAAATTGAATTATGATTTATCAACGTAAAACAACAATGGTAAAAATATGCGTTCGATTAAGGGCGTACTAACATGTTTAATTCCAATGATAAATACGTGGTAACAATAAGAAGAGGGTCGGCAAGGGGTATTTTCGTAAGCATGTAATTTAAATAAATAAAAAACGTCAAATCGTAGACAGGGGCAAGGTGTAAAATGTAATCAGCTATTTTATTCGTTCGTATTTTGTACAAAGATATTATTTTTTTGTAAGCGTATAAAGCATTTTCCACATTAAATGTCGTAATTTGTACGCAATTTTGATTCTTAAACACATTATAAAAATGTAATTAGGAATTTGCTTTATCTGTAAAGTGTAAAAAACTATTTTTTACTGTAAATTTTTATTTCCTGTCACATCGCTTTATATCATGTCTAACGTTGTCAATATTTATTTTGTCTGTTCAGTGGGCCTATTTGGGAAACGACTGGCTGGTTTACTATGGTATTTGCAATGGAAGTATGTGACAGCATCTCCGTATACGGTATGAGCCAGCCAAAATTCTGCAGGTAAACGTAATGTATTTTTACTACGCATGCGTAGTAAGACAAATATTAGTAAATATAAATTCATTGCGATTTCCAAACCATGCTTCTACAAAAATTAGAACGCCACTGTTCAGATTATTGTCACTACATTACGAGACTACATGTATGGTATGTGCATCGCAACTTGCCAGTCACATGCCCTATCCCAGTTTCAACGCTGAGGGACATCACATGCTGGAACTCAACAGAGGATCAGACAACAGCCACTTTGTAATACCAAGTGAGAAAAAAGTTTGAAATCCATGTATGGTGCATTTTTGTTTGACCTTGCACTACACAGTCCCGTCTATACGGAGTGTTGCCCAATGTTTTTTTGACATATTTGTTTATCTGCTCCACCATTTGCCCACATCGCGTGAACATAACACAATCATCTATCTTACAGAACCCACCCAAGAGACATGACGCCTTATCATTACTATAATCCAAGAGGACAGAAAGAATGTCGTCAATATAGATATCACGAGAAAATGAATAGAAATACACATAAATATTTACTGGAAAGAGACGTTTTCATTCGTTGGTCAGAATGGAAAACTATTACATTTCGACACCCAACGTGGTAATGTTTATGTTTCAAAGAAATCTAATTTACAGACCATTACCTTATTTATAAAATAGCATGTTATCCAGCTCAGTGGCTCTGATGGGACCAAGCCCTAGCATGACCTTAATTTTGGCTTTTCTTCAGTCATAACTGTATAAACACACTAACAATAATCTTCTGTTTAATAATGGAAAGGGCAGAAGTTTGGCTTTGATAAAATATGTGCCAGCATCATACCTCATCATTGGCGGAATAGCAATTACCATGGGAGAACATTGGTATAACGGCAACAGAGCCCTGTGTACACACATGAATGAACGCCCACATACACCAAATAAAAAACAAATCAATGTATTTCATTGTAACACTTGCAACAAAAGAAAAAAAAAATCAGTTTTATTTCACAAATACTGTAAATGAAAAAAAGTATGGTATACAAATACAACAAAAAATGCTACTGCTGTCCGAGTAAAAATAACTTATCCCGAGTCATAGATGTATCACAAATCCGAAAATACAATAGCAAGTAAGGCTCTGTATGCATTTTGATGTAATTTGATGTACCAGTACATATAGCTAGGGCCAAGAAAAACATCATCTACTGTAAAATACTTTATTTTCGCCGAAGGAATGATTCAGTGGAAATAAAATCCAGCGAATATACCTTTTTTCTTATATTTTACATTCAACTCATCAAAAAATAGTGAAAATAAATTCCATACAAAACACCCAAAATGTCTTTTCCCGCGAAAATTAATTCCAGCTAAAATAAAGTATTTTACAGTTTTTGAGTGCCCAGGAGTCAACTTTTATCACAATTCACAAAATGAAACCCACATTTTTTTCATATTTGTTTCAAAAATTTGATCAAAACCTGCAGCCAATAAAAAATGATGTCTATTTGGTTTAAAATAACAATTTTATTTTTCAAAATGTATATAAAAATAAGCAAAATATGGTGCTCAAAGGTTTGAGGACCCTGAGAATCTAACCCAGATAAAAACATATTGTAGGGGGATCCCAATCTTAAAAAAAAAAAAATGTGTCTAATGCATAATTATTCTTCATAATTCGGGGGTATAAACCATACTGTAATAATACCTGACAAATGTTGCAATGCACTACGGGAGTATACAAATGTAGTATTGCATCCTCCACAAACAGGTGAATTTAAAACAGAGTGAATAAACCTACAACATAAAACTCGTTAAAATGAAACCCTGTGAATATTTCTTTTTCAGAAGGTAGTTGAATACAGTTGTCACGATATTGATACTCCATGTGTGCAATATCCATAGTTTGTTACTATTAAATATGCTTTCCAACAAATTATTTGCATAGTCGGATGAGCATACCTAAGTGAATCTACTAGTGTATACCAGATACAACTATGTGGTAAATGGGTTAAGAGAAGAAATTACAAGGCGAACAACAAAATATAATAAAGCAGGAAATTTGGTATTGCATGATTTAACATTTTAAATTGATAACAAAACAAAGAAGGATTTAACTGCAAACAACATTTGCATATATTGTGACATCATCGGATAATATCAACTGTCAACAGTTGTGTCAATGGTTTGAAACTATGCAATGATGTTTCATAGTGACACTGTTTTTGAATCAGGTGAGAATTCATTCTCATGTTGCCGTTTCTGAATCAGGTGAGAATTCAGTCTTATGGTGCTGTTTCTGAATCAGGTGAGAATTCAGTCTTATGGTGCTGCTCCTGAATCAGGTGAGAATTCATTCTCATGTTGCTGTTTCTGAATCAGGTGAGAATTCATTCTCATGTTGCTGTTCCTGAATCAGGTGAGAATTCATTCTCATGTTGCTGTTCCTGAATCAGGTGAGAATTCATTCTCATGTTGCTGTTCCTGAATCAGGTTAGAATTCAGTCTCATGTTGCTGTTCCTGAATCAGGTGAAAATTCAGTCTTATGTTGCTGTTCCTGAATCAGGTGAGAATTCAGTCTTATGGTGCTGCTCCTGAATCAGGTGAGAATTCATTCTCATGTTGCTGTTCCTGAATCAGGTGAGAATTCATTCTCATGTTGCTGTTCCTGAATCAGGTTAGAATTCAGTCTCATGTTGCTGTTCCTGAATCAGGTGAAAATTCAGTCTTATGTTGCTGTTCCTGAATCAGGTGAGAATTCAGTCTTATGGTGCTGTTCCTGAATCAGGTGAAAATTCAGTCTTACAGTGCTGTTCCTTGATCAGGTGAGAGAGTGCTGTTCCTTGATCAGGTGAGAATTCAGTTTTGTGGTGCTGTTCCAGGATCAGTTGAAAATTCAGTCTTACAGTGCTGTTCCTTGATCAGGTGAGACGTCAGTCTTACAGTGCTGTTCCTTGATCAGGTGAGAAGTCAGTCTTATGGTGCTATTTCTGAATCGGGCGAGAATTCAGTTTTGTGGTGCTGTTCCAGGATCAGTTGAAAATTCATTCTTATAGTGCTGTTATTTGATCAGGTGAGAAGACAGTGCTGTTCCTTGACCAGGTGAGAAGTCAGTCTTATGGTGCTGTTTCTGAATCAGGCGAGAATTCAGTTTTGTGGTACTGTTCCAGGATCAGTTGAAAATTCAGTCTTACAGTGCTGTTCTTTGATCGGGTGAGAAGTCAGTGCTGTTCCTGGGTAAGTTGAGGATTCCATGTAGGTAGTGACTTGACACTGATATATAATATAATATCAGGTGGCATTTCTCCATATCCACAAAAACAGATTGACAAAGGCTACTAAATTATGTTTTTACTTCTTCCAATTCACATAAATGAATTTGAATGATAAAAAAAAAATTGAGGCAGAAAAAAATCAGAGACTTAGTTTCACAGATAGTAATATTTATCTACATGTACTATCGGTATAAGAACGAGGATAAAGTTGAAAAATAAAGCCTAGAATATACCATTCACAGAGTGCATTGCTGCCAATTATTGGAATCCAGGAAATGAAAATAAAGAGATAACCATGTTCTAAAATTCACAAATAGCACCATAAATAAATTAAAACAATGTCATATATTATCAAGGCTGGCTTATTTAATGCCGGTATTTATGTCTATTATAATGATGATGTCTTGGTTCTCTATGTGATCCATGGTAACCCTGCAATGAAAACACAGGAATACACAATGTCAATGAATGACCAGTTCAGCAACCATGCTCATCTAAGCTCCCACCCCCACTTTCGAGACATTTCTATTTTTGGGGTTACATTCTGCTAAGCATACTTCCACATCAATAATTGGAATTTTACAATACACCAGTACACAGTATCAGATAAACAATATCAACCAATAGTGTTACTTGCAATAACTAGTATATACTATCAGATACACAATATAAACCAATAGTGTTACTTGCAATAACTAGTATATACTATTACAATTACACTAGTACATACTATCAGAATACACAATACAAGGAGGTGGATCCTTACTTTACTAGGATAACTGTAATTCTTGAAATTCTGTGCTGTCTGGAATGGATTATATTTAGGTTTGAAATCATTCTCTTCTCTGTACTTTATCCTTTTCTTCTAAAAATAGTAATACATAACATAAACTTACATGACACTGCAGACTGCATAGCAATATGATAGGAATACATGCTCTACTGACTATTGCTTTTAATAATACTAAAAACATGGCATATAATGTATTGCATTATAAGAAAAAAATCACATGAACATTCTGAGTCTTGATCCACATATTCAAAAATAGGTGATTTTCCATTCAACTGCAAGATATCGTGAGTTGCATGAAAGACACGCATCGAACGCCTGCCACAAAAAACGAACGATTTTATTTTGAATTTGAATTTCTTTATTTCGTAGTTCACAACGACCGGCTGATCTTCGACAGAGGAATATTGCTTTTGAAATTGCCTATCATCAAATGTGTACAGCACATTATTAAGCATGGAAATCTCTTCACGTTTGTCAAATCCCATGCGATGTTTGACGACGCTATGACTTTTGTTTGTCCTGTTTTTACGTTTGATTTCACGCATAACTCATGATTCTCACAGTGAACGGAAAATGGTCATTTCACACTTAATATTACACTATCCTTTCAATTTTTTACATGAAACTGTGCTGAATCAACTTGCCACTTTGTTTGAGCTTAATCTGCCTTTTCAACAATTGCCATAGTTGAAAGCTGCAATTACTGATACAGTGTATTAGAGATGGAATTAATTAATTCTTGAATGATTTATTCTTTGTTGTACAGACAGATGCAAAAGTACAAAATTAAGACTGTAAAAAATGGTTTTGCCTACTCTAAAAATTAATACTTCACAAAAATCTGCTACACACCAAATACATGCATGAGATGTAATGATTCTACAAAGTTTTGTTTGGTTGCATTGACATTTGAGAACGCAAGAGAGGAAAGATTTATTCTGGAAACAAACATTTTTACATATTCAACTGTAAATATTGACTTTGTTGATTATACTGCAATCACATTAATGCATCAATATCTTGTTTATACATGAATGTTGAATAAATTTGTTTGGCCCTGGATCCAATTAGACAGATGGATAAATCAAAGAAAGCTTAGAAAGAACTCCTGTGTGCTGAGAGTATTGAAGACACATTAAAAATTAATTCAAAATTACTTGTACTTGAGATATTGATGGAATAGCTGACAACTAATTATGTAAATCAGGTAACTGATATGAACAGATTTGAGTGTAAAACTAATAAGGCCTGCGTAATGTAATATATATGTACCAAGTTTCATTGAAATGTGATTAGAACAAAAAACTATGAATTATATTAGAGAATTAATATGAACAAATTTCAACCCAAAATTAATCGGGACTGTCTATTGTCCTAAAGCATTTATGTACCAAATTTTATTATTTTATTTTATCAGTAATAATTAATTATTTTAATTAGGTGATTAATAAGCATAAATATTTACCAAAAACTAATTGGGTCTCTGCTTAGTCCTAGGTTCATTGAAATGTGATGATGAATACTCTTTAAAAGTTTCATTAAAATCCAATTACTGGTTCTATATATATCAGTGGAACATTCATGGAAAAAATAACTAATTATGCAAATTTGGTAATTAATATGCACAAATATTTACCCCAAAACTAATCAGGTCTCTGCACACTCCTTAAGTAACTATGTACCAAGTTTCATTGAAATGTGATGATTACTACTTGAAATATCAAAAGCTAAAAATTAATTAATTATGCAAATTAGGTAATTAATATGTACTGATATTACCCTAAAAACTATCAGGTCTGTTCAGTGTTCTATGATATCTATGTACCAAGTTTTATTGAAATGTGATGATTAGTACTTGAGATATCAGTGGAAAAGCCAAAAATTGATTAATCATTATGCAAATTAGATAATATTGCACAGATTTTTACCCAAAACTAATCAAATCTGCACATTAGTTCAGAACATCTATGTGCCAAGTTTCATCAAAATCAAATGAGTGGTTCTTTAGATATCAGTGGAATAGTCATGGAACAGCTAAAAATCAGCTAATTATCATGCAAATTAGATAATTAATATGCATGGATTTTTACCAAAACCTAATCAAATCTGCGCATTGGCCCAGAGCATCTATGCACCAAGTTTCATAAAAAACAACAACGTATGGTTCTTGAGATAGCAGTGGAACAGACACACACACACACACACACACACACACACACACACACACACACACACACACACACACACACACACACAGACAGACAGACACACTAACTGCAAAGACTCCCTTTTTGCGCTTCGCACACGGGAGACAAAAATAGTTAATAATTTTTAATTGAGAATGGGTTTGCAAATCCATAGTTTGGATGATAGGTTACCTTTCCGCTATCATAGTCCTCATCATAATCATCATCTTGTTTTCTCACTTTCCGATCTCTCTCAGCATCTTGATCGAGTACACTTTTGCCTCCATCCCATGATTCAACTGCAAAGTAAGACACCATGAGGAAAATGTTGCATAGTACTTTATCAGTAGCCCACAAATCAGAATCACCTCTGAATTATTATCATCAATTGTATGTTACTGCTGTTTGCAGTACATATAAGCCAACAGTACGTAGGTTTATAACAGTATGTTATTGTATATTGGTCCTGCAAAATACAACTTCTTTTGACACACCCTTTGCCATGTGTGCAAGCGTATGCGCTATTAACAGAGCAAAAACAGTATCAATAATACTAACGAGGAATATAGAAATCTGTAAGACGTACACAGATCCTTACTAGAAATAC